AATGGTAGTACGCCGTGCTAACCACTCGGGTGATCGAATCGCGATCACGAATACATATAGATATATTTAAAGGCTTCTAGTTGTATTAAATATAAAGTTATGGGGTTTTCACACAAAGTCCATCACGTCTAAAAAAATTATGTTACTGGAAGAAATTGCGACCAAAAGCATTTTCATAAGTGTTGATCTGAACATTACAGCATTGTATTCAACTAAAACGCAAAAGTGTCCAAGCATCGCTTCTAAATTGTAATTCTTGGTAGAAGCAATCAATGGGCAGATGTCATAATTATATATACTGGATATAATAGCAATATAATGGTAAGTCCAAAGTTATTGCATGAATCTAAACATAATCGATGATCACCGCTGGGTCATAACAAATTCTCCTTTTCGTTAAAAACGCGACACTGGACAATATAAAATTGTTATAAATTGTTATAAATACATTTATGGTAAGTTTGTGTTTAACAAAATGTTTATTATATTTGATTACTACCACGTTATATTCGCTCTACCTTTATTTTGCAAAAAAAAAAAAGGATAATCAAATTCTTATTTATAACGGTATGTCGTTAAAACAAACATTGAAATACCTACGGTACTGCCAGTTCTTTTCATTGATCATAACCTTTAAGTTCTCCTTTTTTTCTAAGATTTATTTTAAAATTTGCGAAAAAAAATTTATAAAAGCAACATCTTTTGCTAAGGCAGCGAGTGAGAAAGGGACAATTGCTTACTTACTTCACCTGTTTACTATTTCATGATGCTTGATTTATATAAAAATCTTTTAAATCTACAACGGAGTATACAACACTTGTTTTTTTTATTGAAAAACATTCTTTTATGCATTTTTTATTGCTATACATTCCTTGTTTACTCTTCTCATACACGAAAACCGTAAGCTTATTTTATTTCCTCTAAAGAGCTTGCTTCTTCCCTTGGTCAGTAATGTACAGAACTGACATATTATTCCAGAAAGGCGTTAAATCATTTAATTACTGCGTAGGAAAAGTTAATTGGCCATACTGTGGATTTATTTTGAAGTGGTATTTTTATTTTTATGCTTCCACGCATATTCGTAAATCAATTAATAATTTTATTTACACAATTTTTATCTTGATTCAACTATAACTAAAGATTGGCTTGATAAAACTACAAACTACAATTTCCTTTAGTACCAATTGGTAAATTAATTTAATCTATTGCCGTTGGTCATAAAATGTTGATGATGAATTTTATTAAAAATTCGACAAGAAACTGTAGACGGAAATTAGCTACTTTAGGAAGTTTAAAAGGTGGGGAGAGTCAACCAAACTTGAACTTCAACTTGATGCGAAATCTTGAAATTTATCATCTAAAAATATATATATATACTAGTATATATATGTATATACATATTGCTCAGATGAATTTATGATTTTTATATCTCATGTATGTTTTTTCTTGTATATTTGACCGGCAAGCTCGCAGCTAGCAAAACGTGACTACGGCAAATTAAATCATTCCATTAATCCAACAGTTGAAGCCAACCGAGTGGATGACACTCACCGCACATCGGTGGTCAACACTAACACCGTTGTCTGTTGGTCGTACACACCCATTCACGTGTATATGTTGCGGAAAAAAGTGGCAAATAAATTACAGAAATGCAAATGCAACGTGAATACACAAACAAATTATTGAAGGAAATTAGTTGAAGAAGACGATCGCTTGAGATTTGCAGAAATTTAAAATGTGAATAAATCTCTCTTCGTGATTTATTCATTCACATCGTTTGGTAGTGAGTATTAGTTATTATATGTATGTACATATATGTGTTATTTTTTAATATACCTATTATATTTGGGTTTCTCCAACACCTTCGGCTGAGTGTAATTTAAAAACAAACACATATTTTTAATTACTGCGAATAAAAGCCTCTGCGCAAAAGCACGCACGCATACATACAAAAGCGCACACAGTAAAGAAGTTGTACTTCGAAAGAATATGCCAGAATATTCGCTTAAATACTTTGAAACATTTATTTGTATATACGTGTATGTACATATGCAAGCAAATTTATAAGTATTTTCTCTGTTTTATTTTTATACTAAAATTTGTTTTCTTTTTCTTCTTTTTGACGGCATACCATGAATACATATAAATACCTCGAATAAGTGTGTAAAGGGGTTAAGGCGTTAAATTAAATGCAATTGTTAACTGTTCTTGTGATCTCAAAATTTTACGATGACATCAACGCCTGCATACGAATGAATTCTGCGTATTTATTAAAGATTCTTTACTTGCCGTAATACAAACATATTTTTCAATTATATGTACATATGTATAAGTATGTACAAATAATAAATATGAAACGTGTGCAGACAAATAAATTTTATTTTCGTCTGTTGCTTAAAATATACCGGGTTTCATGCAAGCGTAAGGAACGAACAACAAGTGGTCCTGCATATATTTGCATTGGAGAAAATTTAATTTACACATTTAAACTCTGGTCTCTTGGTCCAAAATATTCGTGCAGAATTTAAAGTATGTACTCCTATATGTGTATATACCAGAGGAATAATAATCTTTTTTTGAGAGAAATTTTAATTAAGTTGATCACTTTCTATTTCCCGCGATAGGATGAAAAGTTTAAAAGAAGACTAAAACCATTTATAGTAAAGAAAAGGATATAAATAAGAAAAATAAACGAAAAAATTGCAAACTTGAAGGACCCGACATTCCCAGCTAAGGGACGAGCGCAAAAAGAACAGGAAAGAAGAGGTGGTTTCACCGATGTCTAAGTCTGGATTCCTTTTACGATCATATCAGTTTTGTGGTGTTTCATTTTACGACGACAAATTAATTCTCATATCTATACAAATCGGTTATTTATATGGCGGCTACGTGATATAGTCTTCCAATTTCATGCGAAGTTTTGATCTAAAATCTCAAATATGAAAAATCGGTCGTATATTTGCTATGGTGGTTCAATGTGGTCGGTTCCGACAAATGACGATTAAATGTATTTCTGTACTAAGTTTGGTTGAAATGCGTCAAATAGAGAGACGGACTCGACATTCCAACCGCTCGGAGGCGGCGTAGTACCAATTGTAGGTCATTTTGTTGGAAAAACGTCAATATACAAAACCACAAATTTGAGGAGAAGCTCTCACGAAAATCTCTTCACCGATTACAAAGCGAGTATATATTTCATACTTCGAACCAAAGTTAGTGGACCATTTCATGTACATGGAAGATATACAAATTAAATCCGTTCGAGTTCGAAACCATCACCTTTTACATAATAGCACGCACTACTAACCACTTAGTTTAGCTGGAATTACGCTTCTCAACATTATTTTTCTTTCATGATATTTACCTAAGATCTCATCTAAAGAACAAAAAAGGTTTACTTAAAATCATACAGAACAGACTGTATTGTTAAAAATGTAATTGGTGAAATGATTAATGACTCAAATGATATACATACATATATGGATGTAATGCAAATATCATGCAATAAAAGGTCTACTTACGTGGGTTTCATTATTATAAATATTTCGACGTTTTCAACAGAAATATATGTAATAAATGAAATATCAGATGATATTCATTTAGAGTTAAATTGTTTCCCTAAGAAGAAGAAGAATAGCTAATAGTTTCGACACTGAATTTAAAAAAGTGTGTGTGAGAAATATATTTTTTTAAATTATTTCTTGTACAAAAAATCGAAATTATTTACTTTCTTACAGTCTCATTAAACGCCAACAAAGAAAAAGCAAATTTCCAATTGTTGAAAAGTTGTTGGTGGAAAAATTTTACGACTATTTTTTTGTATTATCTTAAAATCTGATCAAAGCTGCAGCGCTTTCATCTATGACGAAATGATCTAGCCAGCGTACAGCGGTCAATATCCTCATATAACTCGTACAGCTCATCGTTTCATCGTCTGCGGTATTTGCCGTTGCCTCGAAGACTCCCAAAGCCGACTCATCAGCTGTTGACATCGTCCATGTCTCTGCACGCTTTTATAGAAGATTGTACCTTCTCTATTCAACTCTGCAGATCTTATTATTCTCCCCAGCATCAGACTGAAGAAATCGCACGACAAAAAGTTACCCTGTCTGAAATCCCGTTTGGTACCGAACGGCGGTTCTTTCCAATTCTTTCTCTTTTCACAAAACGCTTGATAGGACCTTATATGCGGTGTTAAGGAGGCTTATCCCGCGGTAGTTGGCGCAGACTGGGAGATCGCCCTTTTTGCGGATTGGGCAAAGTACACTTAGGTTCCAATCGTCGGGAATGCTTTCATCGAACCATATTTTGCAAATTTCCTGCTGCATTCACCTTGTCAGCTCTTCACCGCTACTCAAACTTTGACATGGTCAGGTATCGGAAAGTCCGTTCCATCGTCATCGATTGGAATTTCGGGTTCATCATCTCAGGGTGTTTTATTTTAACTGCCGTGTTCCGTCCATAATTTCAGTATACTCTGGGCATCCCTCAATAGATCAACCCTCTGGGTTCAACAAGAGTTTATTAGGGTCTTGAAACCTTCCGTAAGTCTCCTTGTATTCTCATTTTGTATTCTTGTTTTCGAGCATTACTGGGTCAGCTTCTCAAACTCTTCGTACTCACACATTTCGATCAGGAGACAGCCAAGTAGATTGGTGTATTTTTTTGTGCTGGAATCTAGTGCTACAGACAACCATATTTCAAGCCCCAGCGAAGTCGATCAGCCTCAATCCATTAGGGCATGTTTCATCGTGGAGGCTGAATTTTCCTACAGTTGCCCCAAAAATACCTTCTTTGCCCATCCTTGCGTTGAAGTCGCCAAGCACAATTTTGATGTCGTGATATCAGCCTTTAATTTTATGAGGACATCAACCAGCACAGCACCAGGTGCATGCCCTAAAATCGTAATTCTTAAAACATCTGGGGGGTTAGCAACAAAAGGGGGAGTCTCTCATCCGAGGCATAATATAATTTTTCATTGGAGTTTATTTTCATGTGGTTATGGTGCAAAAACCTATTTACTGTTGCACTGTTCACCTGCTCGAAATTTCGTTCTAAACTTCTGATCTTTAAAAAAATTTGGAAACTAGAATAAGAAATTTTAGTTTTATTTGTCAAAGTTTCTTAAGCCCTTCAATTATTACAAAACTTTGTATTGATTTGAAAAAGTGCATAGAAAAGTTAAAGGATTTTAACCTTTAGAAAAGAAAGTTAGAAAATTTTTAGATCTGTTTAAGTCTTTTTAAAACTATGAACTGTACTTAATGTTGTTAAAATGTAGTTTAATACAATTATTATTTATTATTTTAGGAGAAATAAAGCTATTTCAACTTTGCTGGAAGTACTCAAATAGATCATCCTGTTCAAAATTTGATATTCAAGGTTTGTCAAAAACATCAAAAGATTAGTAAATCAATGAGCAAGAAGTAAACAAAATCGACCACGTAGCCGACCTCAGTAGGAAAGTTTCTGGCCAAAAAAGAAAAGAGATGACAGAACTGGAACTGGAATGTGCACCGCAATCTATTAGTTATCAATCTACAATTGAGACAAACCTTCAAGCTTTCGGAAAATAGAGCGCTCGGATGGCTACAGAAAACCAAATTCAAAACATCAGGAAAGCTGTGAATAAGATATTTGCAAGGAAGCAACTGATAATGTCCCCCGCCTGGCAGCAGAATGGGAATGTCACCGAGGTATACCTTAATCGTCTGCAAGTCCATCAAAAATATACGCGAGGGTAGCGAGGAAAAAATTACACTCACATTTTGCTCTGGTGGTCTCGAACGAACTGCAGCCAGCCAGTGTAATCGTACGGATTTGAAGAGACTATACAGAAAACATCTGTAAGCAAAGAGCAAAGTTTAAAAATACCATGGAACCATACATGGAACGTTTTCGAATGTGTTTTTATTTCATATCTGTTTAATGGTTTTATGGTTTGAGTACATAATTTTTCTTTAATTGAGAAACCATCTGCAAATGATCAACTGTTTTCAATTATTTATCTTTCTCCAATTACACTCATACAATAATGTCTTCTTTTTCAATAATTCCCATTCACTCATTGGCAGTGATAAAAAAAAATTATTACAAATGGCATTGAAGATTGAACAAGTGTTTTTAGGTATGCTGCTACAAGGTGCTTCTCAAAAGCCATTTCAGAGTAGAAAAAAATTGAATTCACTTACCATGTTTCTCCTCCATTTTTGTTATGGTTTATATATAATTTGAAGTGGTGCTTTTCGAATTCGAGTCTATTGTAAAAATGCTTTTGCAATGCCAAATGTGCTTGCAAAAAGTTGTTTTTTTATTATAAAAATATTTTTAATTGTTATTGGGTGCTGCAAAGTCACAATAGCACTTGTCTGCAATTAAAGCGTTGCAAAATAAATCAAACAATCAAACAAGCGTATGTGGGTTGAATAGTTTTGATATGTATGTCGCGGATTTTTCTTTTTTCCCTCCACAAATAAAAAAGTTTCACTTAAACGAGCACTTTTTGTGGGAAGAAGAAATTCGGCTGTTAGTGTGTGTGTGAAATGAAAGTGACAATTAAATCACTTTGCGCACAAATGGATAGGCGTGAGTGTGTGTATGTGGATGGGCAAAAGCGCGCAAGTGGGCGCAATAAAAACTGGAAAAATTATTGTTGGCAAAAAGCGCAAACAAATGAAATAAATAAGAGAAACAAAATAACTATTTAATGCAATTTCACTTGAACAATGGTTGGCGTACACTGATTGCCCAAGCGGCGTTTGAAAAGCTGAGAGGCGAGTCCAAAAATTAAAGCGCTTAGAAATTGCAAGTGACGCCCAAAGTGTTGCGCTTCATTAGATCGTAGGTGTTTTCGAAGAAAAAGTGAAAACTGAAACCGTCTTTTAAATGCACAAAGGGTGCCACCTCAAATCACTTGCACACTTAATAACACAACACACCAGCCAACACACAATAAATTTTGCAAATAAAAACACGGATTCACAAATAAAGTATTTATCAAAACAAAACAAACAAAAAAATTCCTTAAAAAAACTATTAAATATTTCGGATTTAATTATAGCGTAAGTTTGACAGAAAGTCCAACGGTAAATTTAGTTTTTAATTGAACAGTTTTTCAAAGCAAGAAATTAACCTTCTATGCCGCTGATAACCATGTGAAGTCTTTATTGTTGGGTTGAGATTACTTTCCAACTGTTTTGCTTATCTTTATCAGCTTAATAATCACACTTGAAAGGCACTTTCAGTTAATTTACACTTTATTTGCTGATTTACAACTTAATAAGTTTCTATTTTTGTATTTTTCTATTTTATTTTCCGTAAATGTTTTTGTGGACGTTTTAGCTTCTTCGGTTTCGCGTTGCTACCACTTTCGGTGTTCGAGCGTAAATAAACACGGTCTGCAGTTGATTTCAGCTGATATAGTAAGCCGTTGGACGAGTAAAAACGTCGCGCGCACATCAGCAGCACCGGCTGCAGCAGCACCAAACAGCCCACCACCACCAACAGTCAAGCGACCAGCAAACAACTAACAGCCAAGTCAGCAGCACCAACGTTAGCATTAGCTTCGTCGCTAGCTGCTAGTTTCAGCCTCAGTCGAAGCCAATCAGGTCTTCTAAACTGTGGTAGGCATTGAGTTTAGTAGTGAAGCAGGCAGCTAGCCGGTGAAGTCAGGTCAGTCAGCTGATTGGCAAGCAGCCAACTTGGATAGTTGGCAGTGATGTTAACAGCTCTACAGCCGCGTAACATAACTGCGTCGCTCAGCTGCTACAGCAACGGCGCAGATGTTGGTGCTTGTTTTGCTGCTCTTTGATGATGGCAAGAACTAAGGAGACCAACCGACTGTGGGCGATTCGACTGATTTTCGTACTGGTTGGAATTTGGTAATTCTAAGTAAGATAAATATATTTCGCAAGGTGTTCCCAATCATCCTAAGCTTTTAGTGGAACTTGTTACAAATAAAATGGTAAAGAGTTTTTTACGTCAGATTATAACTTTGGTCTAAAAATGTGTTTTGTTCATTTATGCAAAGTTAAAACTTTTATTTTTATTACAGGATGACTAGAGTCTCTTCAGGATATTAAGATAGTACAGTGATACAAAAAAATAAAGGGAAAGAAAATGGAAAGTCAAAAAATATGAAGGATAAGTCATTTGTAAGTTGCTATTAAAGGGTAACCGTGTCTTTCCCAACACTAAACGTTTCTGGTGAATTTCAAAGGGAAAACCCGATTGACCAAGCCCCTTCAAAAAAACTCAAATTGAGAAGATTAAAGATGAAAAGAAGCAAGAAACTCTCTGTTTGATCTAAATGAAAGACTAAAACTTGTCCTCAGCTACTTCAGTCGTCACAAGATTGTTAACATATGAGCTCAATAAGATTTTGAAGTATCATGAAGATGTAGTGTATTTTGCAATCTAACATGGAATTGGACTGATATTGAATTTGCGCATTAGAAAATCCTCAAAAGGTACACTTCGGCTCAAGCAGCACATCCGTCTGCTTGTTAACCCTGGTTGCCAGAACACTCCAGTCATATCACTAAGATATACATATGCATATATATATATATATATATATATATTTACTAGGTGTAGTAAAAATAAATCCATTATTTTTTCCAATAGATGGCTTTATTTCTCGGCTTTTCGCATTGTATAAGTCCGATCGGGTTTCGCTGGATGGCGTTGGAAAGAAGAAATTTCGTACTAAAAACCTTTCTGGCGGTTTCGTGATCGGTTTTATTCAGTTTTGTTTGAGCTATATTTTACAGGTTTTTTTCGATAGCCAGTGCTACTAACTTAACAAAAAAGTGCTGAACTTTCTAGTCTTGCATATATACAAATATATGCACACCAATACTATAAATACTGAATATAAAAATGTCTGTGATTGACTAAGAAAACCGCACACTGTGCCACCCCACCATCGCTCGTCTATGCAGCGCCTCGTTAAGTCGGCGTTTGACGTTTACTGTTGGCATTCGAAGCAAGGCAGCGATAGCAACTATTTGCTGAAGTTTTATTACTGTTAAGTGTTACGGCTGCTGTTGTTTTAGCTGCAGTAGCTACCAATACTTTTTTTTTAACATGCACTCACACATACATCCACATGAATAACATATATAGCACAGAAATTGTATATATTATCATTTTACTATCAACTCGGGCCATAATATTTACGATTGTAAATATTCGCGCCACTTTCAGGCGGAAAAGTTTGATTCCTTATGAAGTGAAATGAAATGTGATGCGAATGCTTTTGGTAGATATGTACTCGTCGATATGTATCTATTTATAAATTTACTTTCGACGGCCGCTTCCACTTGCCAATGATTTGAAATATTTTTCCAATTGTTTTGCTTTCTTTTGTGTGCATAACCAAAGTCAGCTGAGTTTAGTTGGTGTGTGTGTGTGTGTGCGTGTATATGAGTCGAAAATGTAAATATGACAACAAGAAATAGGCAGTAAATATGCAAGTGCGGCGAATGGTTAAACCCGGCTGTGTGGCAAGTTAGTCACGTGCTTGTGCCTTTTTGGACTTATTAGTGATTTTGATGTTGGTTTGGCTTAGTTTGTTGTTGAAAATAGCAACAAGTTTTGTTGTTGTTGCCAAAAGCTGCAATTTTTAATGTTATTTTGTTTGTAGAGTTTATTGTAAAACCTATTCCGATAAATTAAATTCGATATAAGCAATAAGGGCAGCTTACGTTGATGGAATCATTAACTTTCGCAACTAAATGAGACAACATTACTGTCATATAAAGTTAATTTTGAATGCGCTACCCTTTGGAGGTAGTTTAATCTTGCCGAAGAAGCCAAATTAGTTTTCTGTGACCCACAAATTATTTTTAAGCTTTTCCTCATTTACTTTTCGTTATTTTTTTCATAATTTTTTTTTTTACATCAAAAGTTTTCTTTTACAAATCTGAAGGAAATTGAAGGAAAATAAAGGTTTCGAAAATGAATTCTTTTGTTTGTTTTTCTTCATATTTCTACAGTCTTTAATATTTCTTCCTCAACACATGATTTCCGTACTTTACTGTTATTTTAGTTCCCGTTGTGTGCTATTTCCTTCTTTCCTGCTAAAATTGTGTCATTTCTGTTCTGCTGCTTCATTGTCAACGTTTATTGATAAAACAACAAATATATGTGTGTATATTTGTATTTATGCCGGTGATTTGCTTATATAGATTCCATAAACATAAACATATACATGTGTATACTCGTATATACTACGCTTCTTCTTTTAATGTCAATTTCGTTGAGTTGCTAGGAAAGTGTGTCAAAGCTGACGCAATAATTATTTACAACTAAGAGGTTGGTATGGGACTGAATTAGAAATAAATCCTTACAGAGATTCCCCGCTCAATTAATTTCGGTATTTGTGGTGGGAGCTTCAAAATTTCATGATTTTATGAGATTGTAAAATTTCAGAGATGAGAAGCATTCTAGGCATAATTCTAAAAAAAACGAATTTAAGGTCGAGTAGAGATGGAATCGGGAAGTAGTTAGACTTATAAGTTAAGGTAATTTATCGGATTTAGGAAACTATTGCTCAAGCTAATATTTTCCATTAGATAATTGTCTAATGGAGGGTTAAAACTGCCGTCAGGACTAAACTTAATACCTGAGCATTGCTCCTCTGAATTGGTTTTTACACCCTCTATAAGTGATTTTGATGGTTGAGGCTAAGAAGAGAGAGAAATGGGGAAGGGACAGTAAGGAATATTTCTGTATGAAACTTGAAATTCAGTCCGGGCTCGCGCTTTGTGATAGTGGAAAGGATAACAGTCCATCCTTAACCAATATAAGCTAGAAATTGATGAATAAAAGTGCAATCTATGGTTCTTACTTCAGTAGATAATGAACGCTGAGCCAATTTAAGATTATATAAGATACTTTTGGTTTGGTAATAATTGCAAGAAATCGGCGGCTTGGTTATCTTTAAAGAAATAAAAATAGACAAGTTTCTTGTAGGACTTCAAATGTTGCCATTATCTAAAAGTATTGATTATATTTGATTATAGAACTTATTTGTAATTATATATGAATTCTGTATTAGATGCTAATTGAAGAAAAAGAAGTTTATCAAAGAATTTCCAAGCCTCTCATAATACTCCAATGTTAAATACATATTTAATTGTGTACATACAATATAAATGTAACCGTATAATTCTGTATGCGAATGGGCATTAAACAGTAGCCAACGGTATAAGTCGCCTTTGAAATATTTCAAATCGAACGGTGAATGAAAAATTTTGGCGGCTATGAATGACTCCCAATTTTTCATACAACGCATCGCTGAGTGATACGAGCAACGGCGTAAGCGTCAAATATAAAAAGGTAATAAATTTCGTTTATAATAGTTGATTGGCCGCTAGCACTAACACCTATTCACAGCAAACAGAAGTACAAGACGATATGTAGTGAGGCGGTGCGCAGTCTTTGGCGAACATAGTAATGACAATGAAATCGTAAATTGTAAATTGTAATGAGACTTGTACACGCGCATGCGCAAAACTCAGCGAAAAATGTGAATAGTTCGAATTGAGCTCTCAAATAACAATAAATAACATAATTATTAATGACAACAACAAAAGCACGCATTTCTACACGCATAGGCAGTGCTGACTTTGTGATTGTTACCGTTGAGTTTGTAATTTTTAACACCTGCTGTGTATACAAGCAACATTTTATATAGATTTTTAAAGCACATTTTCACTATTTCATATTTCAGAGCATTATATGGACAGATAATTTTTAAAAAACAAAAATAATAAAAACATAAATTAAAGAGCCTACACTGAACTGCGACTAATAGCGATCTGTTTGGAAAAATAAAAAATCGCTTTTGCGAAATACTCAAGTCACGCACATTTGCCAAAAGCCTAAAGAAGCTGTTAGGGTTTACTTCGCTGCATGGATAGGACCATCGTGGGTAGTTCACCTTGGATGCGAGATAATAATCAGAAAAAATAAAGAATTGCACTCATAAACACTGTCAATGGAGGCGCCAACAGGATGATGGTTGAGTGCGTGCTTTCCGGCCGCTGGGTCGAAAGTCGAAAGTGCAAAACAAGGGAGTGAGGAATTCGGGGAGTTTTGGGTTGTCTAAAAAGTTTTATCAAAGCACATTTATTTTTAATAAATTTAGGTGGTTGTTAGCGAATTATTTTTTATTTAATATATTTTCTAAAATATACATTTTTAATTGCATTTTTATTTTTTGTTTCAAATGTGATTATTTAGGAAGAAAAGGTTGAAAGGTTATTTTCATGCTTTTTGGTATTTTTCTTGAAAAGTTTACTGGTAAGTTATTAAGCTATAATTGAAGAAGAGTGGCCAAATAACCAACAAAATGGTAAGTAGTAGCAATAGCGGTTTAAACAA